GATATCTATGCACCAGTTTGCAGGATCACTATCATCAGAGTGCTTATCGGATGGGCGGCGATAAAAATGTTCGTCATACATCAGATGGATGTAAAGACTACCTTTCTTAATGGAGATCTCACAGAAGAGATCTACATGGAGAAATCAGAAGGACTTGATGCTCTAGCTGATAAAGTTTATAAACTTATTAAGTCTCTATATGGACTTAAGCAGGCACCGAAACTCTAGCATGAGAAGTTCGATGGGGTTATTCGCAATAATGGGTATCAAGTTAGTGAGTCTGACAAGTGCCTATACATCAAGGTCACTGAAGGAAAGGTGGTGGTTATCTGCCTCTATATGGATGATATGCTCATCATCAGGAACGATTTGGAGATAGTAACATCTACCAAGAAATTTTTCTCGGCACAGTTCTGCATGAAGGACCTTAGAAATGCGAACATGATTCTCGGAATCAAAATTATATACTCTGAAGAGAGTATTGAATTGTCCCAATCTTATTATGTCGAGAGCATACTAAGGAAGTATGGCTACTACGACCTGCCAGAACTATCAGTGTCGTATGATTACAACAAGAAGCTTCAAACGAATACTGGAATACCAGTAGAGTAGCTAAGGTACTCAAAGATAATTGGAAGTCTTATGTACGCGATTAGCTGCACAAGGCCAAATATAGCATTCGTTGTAGGAATGCTTACAAGTAATTCTGGAAAACTTCAGTGGGATGTTGTCCAGAGATTAATGAGATACTTAAAAGGAACAACAGGTTTGGGCCTATTCTACACTGGATATCCGGCTATAATCGAAGGCTATTCAGATGCGAGCTGATGCTCAGAACCAGATGATTGCAGACATACTGGAGGTTTTGTTTTCATCATGGGCGGAGCTGCCATCTCGTGGAAATCTAAGAAGCAAACTATGATTGCACAGTCATCGATGGAATCTGAGTTCTTCGGACTCTGTGCTGCAGGAGATGAAGCTGAGTGGCTCAGTTGTATTCTCCGAGATCTTCCATCGATAGAATTACAAGACGCAATTACAATCTATTGTGATAATCAGACAACGGGTGTTGTGGCAGCGAACTCATTGTTCAATGGAAATAAGTGGACCATTCGTCTGAAGCATGACTATTTGAGAGAACTCATTTGCCAAGGAGTCATCTCGGTGATTGACGTCCGGTCTTCAGAAAATGTGGCTAATCCTTTGACTAAAGGTCTAAAAAAGAACATAGTCGAAAGGACGTTTCCTGCAATGGGTCTTAAAGTTTTGTGAGTCTTACAAATACTTATCATGTTCATCCAATTATTAGTTCAAAGCTTACGCTACTAATAATAAATATAACTGGTTTAAAAGTCAAGTAAGATTTATAAAGTTTGGTGAGTCTTACAAATACTTACCATTTCGTCAAGTTATTAGTTCAAATCTTACGCTACTAATGATAAGATGATTGGTTCAAAAGTCACTTACCATTTCGTCAAGTTATTAGTTCAAATCTTACGCTACTAATGATAAGATGATTGGTTCAAAAGTCTAGTAAGATTTACAAGTGAAATCCTACCAAATCTTACGCTACTAATGATAAGATGATTGGTTCAAAAGTCTAGTAAGATTTACAAGTGAAATCCTACCATGTAAAGAGATTGTCTAGCCCGTTAAGCCTTAATGAGTCCAAAGCATTTTGGATGCGAGATGTTGAATATGTAACATGCCTAAAGGACTCACCGATAATCCTATCATGTAAAGGGGTTGGTTGTTAAGCCTTAATGGGTCCAAAACATTTCGGATGTAGGGTGTTAGATAGGAAACACGCCTAAAGGACTTACCTAGAATCCTATAATGAGAGAGGATGACTCTTAATCCTTAATGAGTTCAAAGCATTTCAGATGCGGGATGTTTGATAGGAAACATGCCTAAAGAACCCACCTATGCCTGGATGGAGATTTGGTTGTCTCATGTGGTGTCTTGTGGAAAGATACCTAGAGCCCTAGTAGAAACCAGGATAAGCACAGGGCCATTAATGTGCAAAGGTAAAGGCAAGTGTGGTTCAAAGTGAAAACTACCACAGATGAGTTTGATCTTGTGTGATCGCTGGATTTTAGACATGTGCTGGTTCAAGTCTCTACGACACCTTGCATCTATCTTCTATTTAGTTAGTCTAAGGGGGATTCAAGTCCTTACGACATCTACCTTATGCATAATGATTGAAACGACAACATCATAACACAATACTAGTTTAAAAACTTATGGGGGATTGTTGGATTTTTTGGTCAAAACAGCTTTTCAAAATGAGTTTTCAAACTATATATATATTAACTATAAGTACTTTTCATAAATGCTTAGTAGCCTAGTGAAAAATTAATGTTTTGGTGTTTCAAAAGGTCCCTTGTTCGAGGCTTACCAACGGCAAGCCGAAAAGTATTTTATTTGAATTAATCCCTCATAAGTTCTAGTGGGTTGTGAGTCATAGGCCATGGGCCGTGGGCTGGGGACCAGGGACCGTGGGTTGTGGGCCAATAGGCCGGGGATCGGGGCTAATCGGGCTGAGGCACTAAGTGACACTTTGTTAGGCACACTTTGCACTTCGTACGGAGGCATCGGGGTGAGGTGGCGCCACGTTGGCTGCCACTATGGTCACCACGAAGGTTGCCTCACAGGCTGCTTCGCAGCATGCAGATGAGCTACGCATTCGCACGAGGGTGTAACCCTAGCGTTCCCAAAGTCAGACGAGGTTCATCTGATTCACAAGATCAGATGAGATTCGCCTATTTGACGAGGTTCGCTTGTTCGACGAAGTTCGTCCGTCATACGAGGTTCACTTGTTTGACAAGGTTCACTCGTTCAACGAGGTTCGCTTATTTGACGAGTTTCGATCGTTCGACGAGGTCCGTCTGTCATACGAGGTTCACCTGTTTGACGATGTTCGCTCGTTCGACGAGGTTCGTCTGCCATACGAGGTTCGCCTGTTTGATAAGGTTCGTTTGTCAAACAAGGTTCGTCTTATTTACTGAGTCGTGACCCTCGCGTTACGTAGCAACACATCCATTGATTGTCTCGTATTCAGGAGTTACCGCATGCAGCAGTTACAACAGTATTTAGAGCAATTTAATACATTAATGTTATAATCTTAATTGCTATTGAGAATTGTAACAATCACATTAATTGCGAGTGACTCTTGAGCTGGCCTTAGAGGCCTATAAAAAGCGCCCTTGGGCAGCTCATGAACAGACTCTCGTGAGCGTGGAATACGAACGTCAGTATACACATGCGAGCTTGAAAACGAACGTCAGATCGACGTTGTTGTTGTTGTTGTTGTGTTGCTGCTGCAGAATCTGTGCCCGCAGGAACTTGCCCTTAAACCGAAAGGTTTTGAACCGAAAGGTTTTGAGATCGAGGATATCTTTGCCTTGACTGAAAGATCTTATAGATCGAGGAGATCTTGACAGTACTGGATTGGTGCACACCAGAGTACTGTACTGTTGTTCCTGGAAGCAGTTTGGCCTTGGGATCCTTGTACCGGAATAGACCAAATATTGCTTTAAGCACAATGTTTCTTAAACACACAATGGTTAACTTGAAAAAGTTTAAAATTACAGCACATCATATTTCACTGTTTAATTCCAGATTTAACCACAATTTCTAACAGGTCTCACCACGTGTTTATCTCTTAATAGCCCATTAAGTGAGCTGCCACTTTAAGGTGGGTCTCACCACGTGTTTATCTCTTAATAACTCGTTAAGTGAGCTGCCACATTATACACAGTATCTCTATATTATATATACGTGTATATAAATATTTATTTTTCCATTGGAGAGGAATGTTACACGACCAAGAGATGGGGCATGTATTAAAGAAGATCAAGACATTATCTTTAGAAGAGAAAAGAAAACACAAATCTTTGTTATGATTGAAATCAACAATTATTATATTAATTTGAGATCTTTTGCTTAACATTTTTAAACTGTATATTATTTTATATATGCTTTCTAAAAAGATGTTTGGCATCTCCTAAATGTACATATCCAAAAAAAAAAATTCAAAGGCCTAGGAGTGTATCAAAATGGTTCTAGGCCAATAGGTTTGGATAGGAAATGAATGATGGACTCTAGAAAAGTATAAAATCTTGGTGGAATCTACCTAATTAATTGTACATCTTCTTTAATCAAATGTGTTGATGGAGCCTACTTTATTTATTTGTTTGTTTGTTTGTTTTGTACTAAGGAGGTCGCTGCTGCTAAGGAAATTCGGAATACTCTTACTGCAAAAACTTTAACATAGATATTTATGTCAAGAGACAATAGTATAATTTACCTTCCCTTAAGAGATTGAATTTTAGTTTATGGTAATTCGGGTACATAAAATAGTCATAACTACGGAAAAAGAATTCAATTAGGTATCCTTAGTTTTAATCTGATGGGAAGAATTATCCACAAATACTTCACTTTGCTACATGAACAATTTCACTTTATGCTTCTTGTGGAATTACAAGTTGAATCGTAATATGTTAAATTCATTAGAATTGAACGTAGAGATAGTAATATTGCGGAACACATGGAAACTGAAAAAGAAATACTTTATATCTTATAAAAAAGACGAATATTATTTCAAAAAAAAAAATCTATTAATGTACATATATTAAAATAGCGGTCATTCCTGTCGCATTCCAGCAGTCAGCGGCAATTGTTTTAGTTTAAACTAATAAATTATGATATTATAGTAAAACGAATGGACAATATGTTGTGTACATTTTATTTAATTAAAAAAAAAATCCACACACCCTAAACAAAATATTCAAAAAAAATTAAAAGAAAGAAAAAGGTTTGCCCTAAGAAGAACATGACATCTAAACGACCATGATCGTGACAATCCCCACAAGACCGCCCGTGCTCGCTGCCGACATCTAAGGCGAAAACCCCAAACTTGAGGGTCCTTTCCGCAAAAATGCAGTCAATAACGAAGGAGATAAAAAGCTGTTGACACCGAAACCGTGGTGGGGGATCCAACCAAAGAAACGGACACAAAGAGGAGATCTAGAGAGAGGGGGGAGAGAGAGAGGGAGCTTGAGAGCGAGGCGCATGGCGCGAGCAACGAGAAACGTGTTGCCAAGTCACTAGCTTACGTGGCACTTGCCACAGTCCTCTCTCTCTCTCTATATATATATACAACTAATAACTCAATTAATTTCCAAGTGTACGTAAACCCAGTATTAACTATTATTTCCCTGACGAATTAACAAAGAAGCTCGATCGTCCGAGGAGGTACGTACAGCTGGCAGGGAGGTGGTTCCGGTGCTCGCGGTGAGGTACGCCGCCGTACGCCGGCGGAGGATCCTAAGGAGCCCCCCCGCTCGCCGGCATGGCGTGGTGGCACAGGGTGCTGTTCCCTGTTAAGAAGGCTTGGGTCGCCGTCTCCGCCAAAGTCAAGGCCGCCGGCAGAAAGGACGGTACTGAGATTATTATTCCTTTTTTTTCTTTTTTCTTTTTGGCTATTTTTGAAAGTTTTAATTTCATTAAAATCTCATATAATTGTTTATTATTATTAGAAGGTTATAAATTGCGTATAAAACCCTCTCGATCACTAACCTGTGCTTTCAACAGCACTTAATTATATAATCACCTCAACCCGCTCATCAGCATTTATAATTAATTATGATATCTGGATTAATTTTCGGAGAAGCGAAATGACGAGTGTTAATATACGAGACCAAACTATATACCAGAGAGATTGCTTACAACGTTTGATTGCATTTGAAGCATAAATTAACAGGCTCTTTTTTTTTTCCCATTGCATTTTGATCGAGTGTACGTTAAATTAATAATCCTCTTATTGGGTTTTTTTTCCTTTAAAAATTACTGTTTTTATAGGGACGTATTCATGATTCATTTCCAACTCTCGCTGTAGAGTTTTAAGAAAATTAGTAACAATATAATTTCGAATGCAAAATTATTTCTTATTATTAATCCTCTTATTGGGTTTTTTTTCCTTTAAAAATTACTGTTTTTATGTGGGTCGGTAAAAAAATAAAAAAGAAAGGTGTGAATAATTAGTGACTTTTTACCGCCAATTGGATAGCCGAAAAGTGAATTAATTTGCCACGGCACCTCCCTTTATCCACCAAGAGCACTAATGTTGGACTATTGGCTAGGGAGGATGAACTAGTTTCCTCATTAGGAGATAATTAATTAAAAGTTAATATCTCCCTTTGCTTGATTTACTTGCAAAGGGTACATCATCATATCTTTAATTAAGTGGCCTATATGACCAAATTATCCACTGGCTGAATTTATCGGGCGCAAGTTAAAGGGAGATAATCAAGGAGTTTAACCTTTGCTTTGGATTGGCATTAATGGTTTAAGCTTTATTCCTAAGGATAATTTTAGGAGTATATTCCCTTGGCAAATAGGGCCAATGTTGTATAATAACTCAGAGAGGCTACAAGTGTAGCATGGTCACCGTACCCACCACAAATTAATAAATAAAGAGGTGGGGGAAGAAAAGAGTTAATTAGTCTCCAAAATCCCTATCTATTTGTGGTTATAAAGGTGGCCGCATGAATTTGGATTTGGGTCCTCGCCGCTTCTAAAAGGAAGTGGATCTGATTAAAACCATCTATTATTTTGTTAACAGTTGTCATTTCTCTAATTAGAATGAAAAATAGGAATGAGTCTCGTATATATTGGGTATGTTTAGAATATTTTGGATCCTCGCAGCTTCTAAAAAGCAGTGGATTTGATTAAAACCGTCTATTATTTTGTTGACAGTTGTCATTTCTCTAATTAAAATAAAAAATAGGAATGAGTCTAATGCACATTGAGTATGTTTAGAAATTGGATCCTCGCCGCTTCTAAAAGCAGTGGATTTGATTAAAACCGTCATTTCTCTAATTAAAATGAAAAATAGGAATGAGTGTCATATACATTGGGTATGTTTAGAATATTTTGGATCCTCGCAGCTTCTAAAAAGCAGTGGATTTGATTAAAACCGTCTATTATTTTGTTGACAGTTGTCATTTCTCTAATTAAAATTAAAAAAACATGAATGAGTCTAATGCGCATTGCGTATGTTTAGAAATTGGATTCTCGCCGCTTCTAAAAGCAGTGGATTTGATTAAAACTGTCTGATATTTTGTTGACAGTTGTCATTTCCCTAATTAAAATGAAAATCAGGAATGAGACGCATACACATTTGGTATGTCTGGTATTTGGATCCTCACTGCTTCTAAGAAGCGGTGGATTTGATTAAAACCGTCTATTATTTTGTTGACAGTTATCATTTCTCTAACTAAAATGGAAAATATGAATGAGTCTAATACACATTGGGTATGTTTAAGTGCTAAAATTCATAATGGAGTGCTGAGTAATAGATATTTTTAATCAAAACAGTGGTCTCTCTGCTACTAGACAATTGAATCCTTGATTTGCTTAGCAATATTACTCCAATAAATCTGGATGCATTGTGTTAACATTGCTAACTGGAACAACAAAATATAGTTAATATAACTCACAGCATCTGTTTCCCAAATGAAATATTTCACTACTATCAAATTACTAAATTTTGAAAATGAGAACGACAATTGAAGAATGTTATGACCCATATGCCATTCAGATAATTAGGCAGAAGTTTGTGTTTATGTTAGCATTTTCTTTAGGGGGCTCACGAGAAATTTTTATCCAGAGACAACATTTCATCTCCTTATTTCTTGGGGGTTTTAATGATAGACAATTAAACCAACGTCCGCATGGATATTAAATTGAAGGGATCAGTACCATTTATTTGTTACTTTCTCACCAACTAACCAAACAGTTCGCACTGAGTCAAATAATTAAACATTACAACCAACAAATATACACGCTCCAAAAATTCTCTCTGTTTACCAAATATTTAGAAAATGTAGCAGGGTCCCTATCCTAAGACCCAGTTGGGGGTACTGTAGACATCATGATCTTTTTTTATGATATTTAGATGGGAGGGAGTTGAGCCATACCCAACTTTAAATAAATTCACACCATGCTACCCACATGAGCAATTAATAAAATCCAAAATTAGGTAACGCAGGGATAACGGGCGCTTTGATTTCTAGATTGTTTTTAGCTCTTTTTTTATTGCTCATATTATGTCTAAACAATATCCAAATTGAGAAATCACAAAACAAGACAAAGGGTATCTATAGCCCTTGAAGAAATACCTCAGCCAGAATCAGAACTAGCTATAGCTCTTTTTAATTTGCTCATCTTAATGTCAAAATATATAATATCCTAATTGAGCAATTTCCGGCAAGACAAGGTGCATCTATTAATTACCCTTGAAATCCCCAACCAGAGATAGAACTAGGGCAGTGGTGTATTATCAGAGAATAGTTTAGGGTTATAAATGGCTAAAATCCTCATAGTACAAGGGGTGATATCTGCAAACTAACCGAAGAAAACATGCAAAATGTAAATAGTTAAACTAACTTTTGCCTGTAATGTTAAAACATTTTACAGGAGGCGGAATCCTAAAGCTCCACAACGATGTGGAAACATGTGGATACCAAGATGTACAAGTAATGTGGGAGATGATGCTAAGGAGATCAGAGAAAGGGCTCACCCTCACTCATCATCATCATCCATCATCATCATCATCATCATCAAAGCCAACCAACAAGAAACCCCTTTGGAGGTTATCAACTTCATCTAACCGAAGAGCTTCATGCGGATCCATACAACCCCACCATAACATATAACAAGCAAGCGAACCATGAGGAAAGCTCGATCATCAACTATAGCGCGACAATGTTTCTGTCTTTTTGGAAAATAAAGGGGTCCTAAGGATTGTAGTTTGTATAGCTTTCCAGTTTTCATGTGCATGTATATGTATGTACAAAGGGAGGTTCAAGGATGTGAGAAAGACCCTTGCGCTTTTAAAATGCTCAAAGACCTCGAGCAATCAAATAGAGCAGAAATCAGTTGTTCAAGTGTGCTGAAATTTATACTACATATATACTAGAATCTATAGTGTGAGTGACAGGAAGTGAAATATAAATACAACCACTAAGAGCTCAAAGCATACCCGTAAGAATCAGTGTCAACTCATTGATATCAATGGGCAAAAGGTTTTAACATTTTGCTACCTCATTCTGAGCATGATACAATGAAAGAACTCTCTGAATAATAACAAGTTCAGCATCTGTTCCATCATACTGAACACAAAAACAATCAAAGAGCTCAAAACCATTCAAATTATATGGATCACTGTCCGCTCAAAGTTCCGAATGACAAAAAGTTGATTACATTTATGACACCATATTCAAAAAAGCTCAGGGCAACATATTTGTGTAATGAAGACTCAACAAAGTTATTAATATATTTGTGAAATGAAGAGTTAAGAAAAAAAGGAAGAAAACTCAATGCAACTTAACATATCACTATGCTAAACCTTTTACACATAATAAACCAAAAAAGAAAAAAAAAAAGAATCCAAATGTTACATACATTTTGCCAATCTGATCCACAGTTCATCCCCTTCTCTTTCAAGAACATAACAAACAAAACAAATAGTAAACAGAAAAAAAGACAAGATACGAAAACTCACTTCCTTCTCATAGTCGTATTGGCATTCCCCCCAAAGAGATCATCAATTAGAGTTTCAACCTCCTCAGGTGCAAATTTAACATACTTCTCTGTCTGCCTTCCTGCATCCAAATATTGACCATACCTCGCAAGAAATGATCGATAAGCTGGAACAATAACCGCAGTGATTGAAACCCTAAGTTCTGACTTCAACTGCTCATCAGGAACAACCCAAGTACTCTGGACCTTATGAATCTCATCAAACAAAGCATTGAAGCTCTTGAATCTCTCTTTGAGCACAGGCTTATGTACTGAGCCCTTCACAGTCAAGCCAGCATCTTTGAAGCACTCCAAAACTTTCGACCACGTCTCTCTCTGGTAGTTCTTATGGTACTGTCTCAAATCAGATGACCTTTTCCTGCACCAAGTATTACCGAGAAGTCTGTTGACCTCCGGTGATCCCCTGATCCTCTGCACAATGTACCTCCCGTTGTTCATCAGAAAAATGTTGTTCAAGGCTACCTCCTTGTACAGCTTTGCCTTGGATTCAAGGTTCAATTGCAGAAGCTCCATCATTTGTGTCACTTGAGCTTCAAATGGGGTATGATCGCTACTACCGTGACTGTTGTTGCTGTTGTTCTTGCTGCTGCCTTCGATCTTACCTTCTTCGTCATTGTCATCGGAGTTTCTGTGATCTTTGAAGATTTGCTCGAGGGTGTTGATGTATTCACATGCGTATTCGAGATAGTTCATGATATAGCTAGTGAGGGGATGAATTGCACCACCTGGCACTGCATTTTTTACTGCATGGCTCTTGATTGAGTTCTCAAGCTCGCACAAGATCGCCACTGCTGCTTCCCCCAATCTACACTTGACTCCAGATATAGCCGCCTTGATGCTTGCTGCATCTGAGGATGATTCCTCCTCAACTAATTTCTCCTCTGGTTTATCCTCTTCTTCCAATTTGTCCTCTGATTTTTCTTCTTTTTCTTCTTCCAATTTCACGTCTTCTTCTGGTTTCTTCTCTGATTTCTGCTCTTCTTCTGGCTTACCTTCACGAGGAAAGAGGCGATCAACCATGGGCATCATGTCCTTCAACGTCTCATACATATCGAGCACCTTGAAGAGTTTCTCTGAAGAGCGCTTGGTTATAGCAATCGCCTCTGGAAAATTGAGAAGATTGTGAGTTGCACTGCTTGTGAAATTGTAGAAGATATCAGAAGCAATCTCCTCGTGACCAGTAAAAACCGAGTAGCAAAGGTCGTGTTCCAAAGAAAAAGTAGTAGTGATCGCCTGACAGAAGCTCTTGTTCCATTTGGCAATCTCTCCCTCCAACGACTCCCATCCCATTCTCTGCACATCATCAATGGCAATCTTCTCGAATCCAGAATCGGACATGCTAGCTTTGAAAGCATTTCGTCGACAAGCAGCAAACACCAATCGGCACTCAGCTTCATAACCAGCAGAGATCATGGAGTGGGCAATTGCTTGAAGTCTCGCTAGGGTTTCAGACGCCGGGAAAAAATCGGCAGGGTTGGGCTCAGATGATGGTGATGCAACGGGACGTTCGTGATCATGGGACATTCGGCTGAAGGAAGGTGGACGCTTTGTTTTGCTGATGCTGCCTCCTTGATCTTTGCTTGATTTTGAGGATTCATCGAGCAAGGAATAGAATTCATCTTCGAAGAATGACATGGTGTGGTGTAAGATAGCACCAGTCATGTTCATTACCTCGTAGTATTTGGGATTTGATGTGAAGGGAGAGAGAGCGTTGGTCAGTTTGGATAACACCTCAACTGCACCAAGGATGGAAGGCTCGTCTTCATTTTTCTCTAGTAATAGCTTCTCCTCGCCTGATTCATATTTTATAATCTCCTTCTCAACCAAGGCGACAAACTTCTCAATGGTAGTTTCAGGGATCTCAGGGACATTAGAGGCATTTTCATCATCATCGTCGACTTTTGCTCCTTCCCCAAGACTAAGGAGAATGGTGAGGAACTGACCAACATTGTCCATGAGGCTGGCGAGATTGTCAGAATGCACCGTCTCTTCAATAATATCGGCTTCAGCATTCTCCTCGTGTTGTTCATCTTGCTCTTCTCCTTCTTCGATCCTGTCAGGCTTCTTGATTTCATCTTCTTCTTCACCTTTTTTGTTGAGGGTTTCTTCAAATTGGACGGCACCCAGGGAGAGGTTACGGTGGCAGATCTTCTCTTCATAAGAGGTGGTGGAGGCGGAGAAGCTGTTGGATTTTTGAGGGATGGGAGGTTGGGTTCTGTCCATTTTCTCTATTTATTTTGATCTCAAATGGCTTTTGTTTTGTTTATCAGTTACGATTAAAGGGAGAAAGATGATTGAAGAGGAAAAGATCGGGAATTATGGAGAGGAGAAAGAAAAGGAGAGAAAGGAGGAGAATGAAGGGCGTTTAAAGGTTTTGAATGAAAACGAAAAGGGTGTTGCTAAAATGAAGGGAGAGGGGATTGAAACGGTCAGTGAGCGGGAGAGAAATGTAAATGATCTTTCTTTGGTAATAAACTAATACTAATAATTAAGAGGCTTCTAATTTTGATTGTGGAGATGTGCGGCACATGAAGGACAAAGTGGTGGGAACGTAATGAGGATTTGAGGCCGTCTGCAGCTCTTCATTAAAAACAAAGGCTTTTATGGTGTTTTGCATATTGGTCCTCCTCCTAGTTGATTATTGCATAAAAAGGATATCATCACAAACTGAAAAGAGACAGAATATCATTAATAGCATATAGAAAAAAATTACAATTGAATGAAAAACTCGCAGAAAGACAAATTCTGTAGCAGTAACAACAAAGTTTTATTGGAAACATGTAATACAGAGAGAAAACACCTACATAAGAACCATACTCACTGTAAATGTTATAACCTGTAGTTCTTGTTTCTAGTGTATATATTAAATCACTCTTAAACCTAGCTTTGTGCAAGAACAGTAACTCTATCAGCTACTAATCTATAGTCATATGATCAGGATTTTGTGGATCAAACAGGAAAATTCAGTAATCTATGTGTGTAAACTTGAGGATGGATGGGAAAAAAAATCTATTTCAAATTATTTTGCATCTCAATGAATCTAAACACATTGGCCGGCCTATGGCACCCATAAACTTGAAAATAGTAGACAGAAAAGAAATAAAGTCCATAATCAATCAACTTATATGAGAACATATGCATTCTCTCTGTTGTCCAATTGCAATCATATGAATCAACTGCAATCGCCCAATATATCCCTCGATTCTCTGTTGTTCTGTCTCATGCCCCATGCTCGCTTATCTTGTTAAAAAAATTTCCATATAGGAAGTTGGCCATCTATGTTTCAAGTGAGGTCTGTTAAGCACGAGTCCAGCCCTCTGAGGTGGAAAATTCAACAAAATACTACCAGTATCAACCTAATACCAACTCTTTGAGCTAGTGTTCACCTTTGTAGCTTTCCCAATTACTCATGAGGAGGGGCTAATCCTAGAGAACAGTTGGCAAGCAGAAAACTCTACCATATTCGTCATGTAATTGATGTACGAAGATCCTAGAAGGAGAGACCAACCCACTGATGGAAGTAACTTAGTGGGGATTGTAGGCAAATAAAATTGCACTTATCCCTAATAGAGAAATTTAGAAATTCGCCTACAAGAACATTACCAAAAATAGTAAAAAATAGACAAAAACGCTGATATCTTTCAAACCGGAGGGAAGTTGGCGAAACAGACGGTGGCAAACCGAACTTTGGTCGATTTGATCGGCCCCGTCTCGTCGAGATAGTCGATTTTCATATATAATTCGTTTAATTCTGACTTACGGTTTGAAAGTTATAACTCGTTCTTCGCAGCAAGTTATGTTCTTCGACGCCTGAACTTCGCCTGAAGCAAGCCAAGTCTACTTGTTCGCCTGAACATTCAAGGCAAGTCCGCCTGATAGTGTGACTTCGCCTGAATCAAATAAGCAAAGCCAAGTTTGCCTGAATACTTGACTCTGCGGACAAGGCCAAGTTCGCTTAAACATTGAGCTTCGCCTGAACGAAGTTAAGCTCGCCTGAACGCTTAACTTATGAAACTCACCTGCATGAGCCAAGCTCGCCTGAATTGATTGAAGCTCGTCTGATAGCTTCGCCTACGAGGTTCGCCCGCATACTCCAACCTCGCCTGCATGTGACAAGCTCGCTTGCATGTGCCAAGCTCGCCTGCAAGCTCGCCCAAGCTCGCCTGAATTGTCAAGCTCGCCTGCACAGCTTGATCAAGTCAGCCTCTAAAGTTTGAAACGTGAAAGTGGTTGTGCCCACTTTTCACGTTTTGAGGGGGTGGTTACTAGTCATTCTCCTCTATAAAAAGTCATTGATGGCTACACGAAAATAGGAGGTCAGGGACAAAGAGACGAATCTAGCATCTTCTGCACTCGGCTCTCAAATATCCTAGCTCGGGTATTCAAACGCCGATAAAGCTTCTACCACGCGACGAAGCTTATTGACAGTCTTGTTCGAATCCTCAGGAGAAGAGGACAAAACTTTGAGATCTCGGCATACTCGGCCTACAAGCAATCAAACACTTGTTCGGCCTTTGAACTCATCCAACCAAATTTTTACCACGCGCTGAAGTTTGTCCGCAACCTCGTTCGAATCATTAAAGGGAAGCGAACTCGACACGAGCATCGAGGGAAGCATCCTATCTCCCCAATGAACCTACGTTAAACAAAGAGAAATCGAATCAATTCTCTCTGCTTATGTGTAAACGCGATTTTGATTTATAATAAACAATTCAATTAATACAAATTTTGAGATCTCATTCTACGATGAACAGAAGATGGCGACCACAGTGGGATAATCCATTCTTTCGGACGAATCAGTGGTGGTGCAGTTCGAGGAGATTGTTGTAGGGACTACCATTGAGTCCCTCATCATTGAGTTCGATCAAGCGAAGTACGAAGAGTAGTTGTCTTCAGCTTCTTCTGGTAGCAAGACGCCACGAAAATATCGCAAAGTCTTGCGTGTGACTCAGCCCTAACAAACTAAGGCTAGCATGCCTGAGAGCTTTACCCGAGCAAATATTGGGGGTTCCATTCCTCCTAAAACAATTGATGCAAGCCGAAAGGCCAAGAATGCACACCAAAGAGTCGCTCGTTGGGTTGTTAAGCAATCCCCGCAAGCTCGTCCCTGTCGCCGCAAAACATGCATTTGCCGTCGATGTGAACGCTCCTCTCCCAAAGAGGGCCAAACGGAGGCGTCGACAAGCCCGCGCTCGCCATGAAGCACGTACCCTAATCTCCTTAGACGGCTTGAATTATGATGCTGGTGTCAAGAACAAATGCGAAGTTCACAATTCGGTCGAACTATAATGCAAAGTTCCCGAATTTGACAAACTGCGCAGTTCAGGCGAGCTTCGTGTTATTGGCGAAGTTCACCATTCAGGCGAACTTCCCCAATCATGCAGACTTAACTCAATTGACGAACCTCGTCAGGTTCGCCTGACAGATGAACCTCGCCTGCAAACCGAGCTTTGCCAGAAGGGTAAAACATGGTTCACCCGGCAGGCGCACTTAGCCGATGTCAGCAAGCTGTGCAAGTTCGCCAAACAGGCGAACCTCACCTGAAAGAACAGCAGGCTAAACCTCGCTAGCAGACTCAAGCTCGCCAAACAGATGAACTTCGCCAAACAACAAAGTTCGCCAGAACAACCGAGCTTTGCCTGATAACGAAGTTCGCCAGAACAGACGAACTTCGCCAAACAACGAAGTTCGCCCAAACAGACGAACTTCGTCAGAGCAAGCAAGTTCGCTAGCATAAGCAACTTCGCTTGCATAGGCAAGTTCGCCAGAATCCAGTACTTGGTCCTTTTGATGTTGGGGGTTATACGCATCGACCCACTGTGAATCTCAGAGAACACCTGACACGCAAACGCACGCCTCGATGCCACTGTGAGAAGCTTATCACAGCAGTGCTCGCTGGATGTCGGTGTGGTACAATGTCAAGACATCCACATCAAAGACGCAGCTGCGTGAGGAAACAAGCTCTTGATAACTTGGATCTCTCAGCTGCAACTGTCAACATGACATGGAACTCCAAGGCGAATAATTCACTCTTCTGACGCTGAATTTTCATCGGGATTGAAAAGCCTCTCGATCGAGTCTGATGGTGTCTACCAGCATACCCAGACCAAAAAGGGGGTCGTCATACCGCTTGACTACAGGCGATTGGCCTCCGTTTCTGATGAGGAGGATGACGATTGCTCGACAATAACAACGTCTCACGCCTCAAGCTCAATTCAAGGTGAGCGCGCAAAGGTGCACATGGCTGAAATCCCTGAGGATATAGCCAGAAAGCTGGAAGAGCACCAAGCTATAATTGCCATACAACCAGGCACAATCAATGTTATGAAGGAGATGCTAGAAAAACTCGTGGACAAGAAAAACAAGAAAAAGAGGACATCATGGGCTCCCCCGAAATCCTTAACCAAGAGCAAAGAGCGGGAACCAACTCCTCCACAAGCAACAGAAAGAGAAGGGAATCCAGAGTCGCCCTCTGATTCGTCATCTGAATCTGCAAAAGGGACATCATATTCTGGTAAGGACCCACAAGATAAGAAGCTTGACGAGTTCCAAAGCCAACTCGACGTCTTAAAACTCCAGAAAAGTATGAATGAACTGGGGGTCGTCAGGCCATACCCTGCCGAATGGGACTTTTGTCTACTCGACCTCCTGCAGTTCGATAGCAAGGGTTCTCCTACCCAACACATCTATTACTTCTAGGCGCAAACTGGACACATAGTGAGGAATAACTCCATTATGACTCGACTGTTCATTAGCACCCTCAAAGGAGTCGCTTTTGAATGGTTCCGCAAGATGGAACCAGGCTCTATCAAATCTTGGGCTAACACGGAAAGGCTCTTCATAACCGAATTCTTCGACGATAACACAGAAGTATTTATGGCCACACTGCTAGCTGAAAAGCAGAAGAAGACAGAGTCTGTCAAAAACTTTGTCAAGAGATTCAGAAATCGGTCATTGCATTGCTGTGATCAAATTTCTAAAAACACATTGATCGAGATGTGCCACAGCAATCTCTCGATCAATATTTTATCCAATATTGGAACAATGGAGACCCGAACTTGGAAAGAGCTTGTTCGTCAAGGTGAACAGGTTGAAAACATACTCAAAAGGCTAGATGTCGAGGAGCCATATGAATCCCAAAGAGAGGGTAACCAGAGCGACTTCACCTCTCAGAAACAATCAAAGGGGAAGAAAACTTTGATAGTGGAAACCACTTCCTCCATTAATCTTCTTCGAAGCAAAAAGGTAATTTTTTGGATACCCGCTTTAACAAAAGTACGACTTCAAAGATAAGCAAGTCGTCCCACTCCTCAAATCCTTGATCAAGGCGAAGAAGATCAAGCTCCCAGAATCAATGCGACCCGAGAAGACGTCGAGAACGGATGATCCCAACTACTGTGCGTATCACAGGATAGTTTGTTATCCCACCTCTAAATGCTACATCATGAAGGATAAGATCCAAACTCTATTGGATGCAGGTGTCTTTACCCTTTACTCCTGATTATCGCTGGAGTGGGGGTAGTCTCGGCTTCTTCGCAAAACCATATACGACCTAGATTTTTCTCTCTAACGGAGTCATGACGACTCGAAGCTCGTCATCAATCAGCTCCACAAAATACTATCACGTTAACGATTACCTATGATAATTATTTTTTCTCCAAATTCTC